TCCCCGTACCTGGGCCTCCAAGCTGCGGCCCTGGCTGCTCAGGTTCCGGCAGCTGAGCTCGGACTCCTTGGCCTGGAGGACGGTTTGCTGCAGCTCCCTGGCCAGCCGCTCCGACTCCGCCTTGAGCTCAGCGTTCTCCTTCTGCAGCTGCTCCAGCCCCTTCAGCTTCTCCGCCAGGTCTTGGTTCTGCTGCTTCTTGGCATCGTAGAAAGTTTTCGCCTTCTCCATCTCCTACCTGTGCTTTGTAGTGCTCTGCAGCCTTCTCCTTCAGGACCAGCTGCTCCTGCAGCTCCGCTATCTTCACCTGCTGGCGAGCGGCCTCTGCCTGCAGCTCCCCTTCCCGCACCTGCCAGGTCACAGGGAGGTGGGGAAGAGCCAGTTTAATGGAGCACGGCTGCTTCTGGGTCACCCCACGAAGGGCCCCGCGGAGCCTCCTCTTCGGCCACCCTTCCGAAGAGGGGGTGGGCGCTGCTTCCTGGCATGGACAGCGAGGGACTCGTGAGTCCCAGACTAGGACTGTACACGAGCCGAGGCCTGTCGGTTAATCTTCTCGACTGCTTGCATTTCCTCCCCCTTGCTGCTTCTGCGTCAGAGGCAGCAAGAGGGTGGGGAGGAGGAGCCAGTGCTGGGGGCGGAGTCGGCTTAAAAGCTGGTTCCCTCCCAGCCCCGGCTCTGCGGTGCTGCCTGCCCCGCTCCTGCTGCTGCCTCTATCAGAGGCAGCAGCGAGGAGGGGGGCAAGGGAGGCTGCCACAAAGGAGCCTCCGCCCGTGGCGAGCCCAGGCCTGACTCAGGCAGAGGCTGCTCCACATTCTGCAGACCCCTTGCGGACAGGGGCTGCTGTCTCTGGATCAGGGCGCAGGGCGGCAGGCAGCTGGTCTGCGCAGGGAGCTGTGTTTGATAGTCCCCCACCCCTGGGGACTATCGCACAGTGGAGTAAGCGGTTACTTGACTATTCAATTACACGCTAACATCCCTATCCCAGACCAGCCTTTGTGCGCCTGCAGCCCAGAGGCACTCCAGTTCCGCCACGGGGAGAGCGAAGGCCACAGCAGCGCATTTCGGTGGGAGATGTGGCTGAAAGGAGGCACCTGCACCTTTCCCTCCCCTCATCTGGGCTGGGGGGCAGCCCGTCGGACACAGGTTCCACCGGCAGCAGAGGGGGCCTCCAGTCAGCTGGACGGTAGTGTGCTCCCGCGGGCTGTGGGCCCCCCTATCCATTGTACGCAAGCTCCAGGCAGCCCCTGGGGTCCCGGCAAGCCCCCACCTTGGCCCAAGATCCCACACTGCCCTGCTCATGCAGCCCTCCTTAGCATTACCTTCACCGACTCCTGCTGGGAGCGGGTGGCTTTTTCGTTCTGGGCCAGCTGTTTGTTCAGCTCCTCCACCTAGCAGGGAACAGGAGAACAGTTACACCGGGGCTGTCCCTCGGAAAGCAGCCCCACCCCCCGTTCGGGTGCCCGGGAGCCCCCCCTCGCCACAGCATGCCAACGCGTTTCCCACAGTCTGCAACTGCAGGGCCGCCACACAGCCGGGCCCTAGTGCCTGGGGAAAGCAGGTTCTGCTGCGCCTCGCAACGGGACCTCAGCCCGCGAGCTCTCGGCAGAGATCGAGTGCCCCCTAGACGCTGAAAGAGAAAAGCCGAGCGGCTGGCTACTGCCCCCACCTTCAGCTCTTAGTCCTGGTAACTCCCTGCCCCAATCTGCTGCCACAGACCAGCTTCTTGAGTCATGCCCACCACTGGCCAGTGTGTGGACAGGCCCCTTCAATAATCCACCCCCCCAACCCCGGGGTCCTTGCTCTTGTTCCAGGCCCGCCTTCCAGCTGCTCTACGGAGACACACTCTCGCCCTTTTCCCAGAGACACCCTCCAACCCAGCTCAGACCTCCCCCAGCCTCGCCAAAGCAACCCAGCGTGGTCTCCACAACCTCCGGCCCCGCGAGCGGCTCCCGCAAGTGCGCAGCTCGGAGCCGGCCTAAGCCACAGAGGAGGGGTTTGCTGTGCGCAGGCAGGAGAGCAGCTACGTGCAGGAAACAAACCGGGTTGTCTCAGCCAAGATCAAAGGCACAAGAAAGCAGTGCACGGAGTGAAGGCATTAGATGCATGAAACCGGCCAGGATGCCCCCCAACCTCCCCAGAGCCCGTAAGCTCCGGCGCTGGTCTCCACTGCCAACTGTTTGCCGCCCGAGGAGATGGCGCAATTTGAACCACTGGCAAGTTTACCAAGGGTCGTGGTGGAGACGCTGTCATAGACCATTTTAAAATCAAGGTTTTCCCAGGAGTGCTGCTCTAGGAATGAGCCTAATCACAGGGGTCCCTGCTGGCCTTGGAATCCAAGAGATCTCCTGGCAAGTGTCTTGGAGCCAAATCAGTGGGGCTCTCTGGGGGTCCTCTAGATCGTCCCCCTCATTTGTCCGAGCCACATGGGGGTGTCCCCAGAGGTGCTGGCATTGGCACAACGCTGAGAGCTCCCAAGTCAAGAAAGGGCTGAAAGGGCAACACTAAGCGTCTAGGTAACTTGCATGACCCCTGCACCCGGCTATTAATGTCTGTAGATTGGTTTGGATCCTGGCTCCTTTAACTCTGGGATGGGCACGCTAGCCATTGCATTCCACAGCAGCAGCTCCCCAGCCGTGGGAGGGCGCCCGGCCCAGCAGTGAGGGGAGCAGAGCGGTGAAGAGGACCAGGCCCTGCCTCCCAGCCACCAGAGACCCTCCTCCATGAAGCAAGGCACCTCGTGGCCGTGCGGTCCTCTAGAATGCGCCTGAGCAAGGCACGCAGGGCTGGCGGCGGAAGCCTACTCTGGAAATGAGGAAGGCGGCCCCGTGGGAGGGGCTCCGTGTTTGTCTCCCACGGACCCCAAGTCCACACGGCGAGTTTATAAGGAAAAGTGCCCGCATCGCGATCTTTGCCCGCTCACACATCAGCACCAGGGCGAAAGGCTCGGCAGGGCCACAGCTACCCCCGGCCCTCACTAACAGCGCTGGGGTGCAGCACACGCAGGCCCGGACTCCAGCCCCCGCTCACACCGCGCTGACCGGCACAGGTAACCAGCGGCGCTCACGCGGCACATGGGGGCCGGTCTACAGAGCAGGAAGGGACAATCGTAGTCACTCTGCAGAGGTCTGTGCTAAGGCCTCACGAGGGAGCTGCTCCCTTCCAGCCTCCCTGCCGGCAGAGCACAGCTTGGAGTCACTAAGTGCGGCGCCCGTGTCTTGGCCTCACTGCTTGGCAGAGCAGATGGGTGGGAGCAGCACGGAGCTGATGCAGGGGAGCAGGAGACCAGGTCCCAGGGCTCCTTACGGGGCTGCTGTGGGTGGGAACACCCGCCCGGCTGCCTCCCTGCCCGGTGCGGCTCCCGGCGCCGACGGGGGGGGGTCC